CACTGGGGCCTTCGGTGGAGCTCCCTATGGGGCCACGAAACGTATGAGGGGTGTGCCGAAGTGGGCGTGGGTGACTGTGACAATGATGATGACGATGCTAATGATAATGATGATGATGACGATGATGATGATGATGATGATGATGATGATGATGATTATGATGATGACGACGACGACGATGATGATGATGACGATGGGAAGATGGAGGAGTCAAAACGAGGACCCAACACCACAGGATGGTTGGGAAAAAAACCCAAAGGCCACACAGCGACTGGAGTGTACTATTATTTCCCCCCCTCTGGGCGAACTGCGGCGCAGCGCCAGCCAGGTGGAAGTTGGTCGCTGCGGCGCACATGATTAGAGCCGGCGCTGGGAAAGATGGGGAGGGTGTATGAAAAGGAGGGAGGGGGGAAAGGCCCCAAAGAAGTCCCCAAGAGGCCCAAAGAAACTCCCAGGAGGCTTCCAGGAGGCCCCCAAGAGGCTCCCAAGAGGCCCCGCGACGACGTGACTGTACGTGCTCCGGACGTGCACCCCGCGAAGCGAGAGGAATCATCATCATCATCATCATCATCATCATCAGCATCATCATCAGCATCAACATCATCAGCATCGTTATTATCACCGTCATCATCATCAGCATCACAATCATCAGCATCGTCATTATCCTCACCGCAATAATCATCATCATCATCATCAGCAGCATCAGCATCATCAGCACACTCATTATCATACTCGCCATCATCCTCCTTTTCCTCCTCCGTTCCCTCATCCTTCTCGCTATCTTGTTTATATTCCCCGTCTTCCTCGTCCTCGTCGTCCTCTTCCTCCGCCCAATCCTCGTCCTCCTCGTTCCCGTGCTCGTCCTCCTGTTCCTTCTCCTCCTCGTCCTCGTCCTCGTCCTCCTCCTCCTGCTCCTCGTACCTCTCTGGCCAGATGTTCCACTACACGCTTCTACACTTCCCTGAAGGAAACAACTGGCCTGGGCATCTTCCGCCCGTTTGCCGTCAGCTCTCATCGGCGGCGGTTCTGAATGGGATATGTGAAGCGCGAAGAAATCCTTTGGAGTCCCGAGGGATTTCGACCGAATCCTCAAGGATTTTTTTTGTTGTGGCGCAAGCGGATACCTGCCGATCTCTGCTCTGCCTATTGAAAGTGGGTCTTCGGATTTCCTTCCGGCGCCATGCTGACTGCGATACTCGTGGCGCGCAGCTTTTCAAACGTCCAGCACGGAGAGGCGGCAGCTATCAAATTAAAGAAGTGCTGCGGCGACACCTGTGGATTACCCTACAGGGTCACCCGAAACTCAGATGAAGAAAGAGCCAACATCGGGCCGCAGCAGGGAGGCAGGAGAAGCAGCGAAGGGGAAAGAGGAGAAAAGACGATAGCAAATGGGCAACCAGCCGAAGCAATCAACACCTGGCAGCACCGGCACTGGGTGGACGCCGGCGTGTCGCACATAGCGCGGGACGGGGGAAAAGGTGGAGAAGAGACAAGAAAAGAGAGGAGGACGAGGAAGAGGAGAGGGGCACAAACCGGCCGCTATGCAAGCCAGTTGCCCTATGCCTAACGCCAAGAAAAAATGGCGAGCAGGCCCCTGGTGAAGAGCATCACCCAAACGACAAACTATCACTGTAAAGATGAGCATGCAAAGGAAGGCGCCAACTACAGAGGAGCGACCAGCTTTACAATGAATGCTGCAAGTTGCCCCGCTGAGAAGATCGAAACTCCACGAAGCAGACCGCCGGCCGAGGAAGAGGGGGGGGAGGAGGCAGAGGACGGGGACATGGGCAAATACCCGAGTAAGGGGGCCACTGGTGGCAACTTCTGTGTCCCCAGCACCCCCTCGAGACGCGCCGGCCGCGGAGACCCTGCGGACGCGGAAACGAAAAAGACGAGGAGGAGGATGAGGAGGAGGAAAAGTCAGGCTGCGCCAAGGCAAGCTGCATGTGAAAGGGATTCTCGGCGCGAAGCAAAAACAACGCGCCCGCCTAAGAATGCAGATTATTATCTGTGACGCGACGGCCCTCACGGAGATACTCACGGAACGCGCCCTCGACGTCAGCGGCCTCACGGCGGGAATGGCGGCGAGCATTGTGGGCGCGGTACAGGGCGTAGACCGCGACCGCCCAGCGCTGCGTAACGTCATCGGTGTGCCGAGGACCTCCGATGTGCAAGGAATGGTCCAATGCCAACCCGCCGGCAGGTAGAAGATCACCGAACAACTTCCGCACCACCGGGCAGAAGGCCATGTGAGAGATGCTGTCCTGGCCCCCGTTGCAGCCGAATCGGCAGGCCCCGTGCCCTCCGAAACGCGAGCTGGTGCACCATCCGTTGCACCAAAGGCGCAGCACCGCAGCCCATATGCGCGGTTGGTAGAGGCGCCCCACGCGCTGAAGCGTGAGCACGGCGCGATCGAGGCGCAGCCGCGGAAGCAGGACGATTGACCAATGCGCCAGTTTTCGCCTCAGCATCGCCTGGACGTGCGCGCCGGCAGGGCCGGGGCGGTGGGCCGCGAGCTGCTGGCCAGCGAACCTCTGCCAGCCTGCCTGCCTGTGCCAGCGTTCGTCCCTGGGCGCCGCGTCCCGGACAGCCTGAACTGCACTGGCTGCCCTGCTGAGGTTGCACAGGAAACTGCTGTCCCGCCACGCGTGGAGCCAACCGACGCGCTGCAACGAGGCAGATAAGGAGCTGCATGAGAGCTGCTTCATCACCCGGGCCCTTTCGGAGACGCGGAGGGTTCCTCCGGCCTCGTGCTGGACCACCCTGGCTTTGACAACGGTCATAGTGATGGCCAGATCGGGGAGTGCGGCAGGGAAGCCAACGCTAGTCAGCTCCTTCAGCGCATCCGCACTGATCCAGTCGCAGGGCCCAGGGAGGAGGCGGCGGCAGGCCACGGCCTCGGTCTCCAAGAACGTCTCTGGCAAGTTCTCGAACTGGCCGACAAAGAGCAGCACCGAAGCAATGTACACCTTGTATGCCTTGAAGCACATGAGCATTCCGGCGCCCAGCCGGCCCCACTGCGTAGCTCGGTCGACGTACTTGCGGAGGGGAGCCTCCCACGACAGCCGCTGCCGCCCTGGCCCCATGTACACCCCGAGATATTTAGCCGCTGCGGCGATGACCATCGCGCCCCAACCGGGAGCGCTCTCGTCAAGAATGGCCCGCACTCTGTCTGCTTCCAAGGGGTCCGTCGGCACCAACGCGGTTTTCGCAATGTCGAGGCGCAGCCCAGATATCTGCTCGAATTCTTCGAATAACCGCTGGAGGTTGCTCAAATGCGGCCGGGCTGCAGCGAGGACCATGGCGAGGTCGTCGGCGAACGCCCGGTTCACGGCCATAGGGAAGCGGCGCCTCAAGCGACGAAGGAGAAGGTCGGAGCATGCGGCATACAGCAAGGGTGAAAGTGGACAGCCCTGGCGAATCCCTCGGGTCAATGCGAAACCGGGGAATCGAGCGCCAGCGAGCCCCACCTCGCAGCGGTTGTCCCGGCACAAGATCAGCACGAAGTTGACGAGCCAAGACGGCCAGCCAAGGCCGCGGAAGAAATCGAATATCAGCTGGTGCTCTATCGATGGAAACGCCGCCGCAAAGTCGAAGAAAAAAGCCATGCCTCCTTCCCAGGCCGCCGCGGTCACGAGCATCGCCTCGTCCACGTCGAGGATGTTGCTCACCATGGAGCGCCCTTGGATGAATCCGCGCTGTTCGTCAGCAATCAACGGCCCCAGCGCTGGCTCGACCAGGAAACGGCACGCGCTGGCGAGAAGCCTATTGTCGGTGTTCGTTATGTTCAAGGGCCGGACGCCGTCCAGGTCGAAGAGGTCATCGCCGTGCTCCGTTGTCCCGATGGCTTTTTTCGGGAGGAAAATGAGGATGCTCGCATTGAAATCAGGGCACTCAGTGGCCAGCCTATCTCAAGAATCCTCAAGGATTCTTGATCTCGGGGTACCTCAAGAATCCTCAAGGATTCTTGAGGTACCCCGAGAATTGGGAGCACTTCGCGGCGGACTGGGCCGTACAGTGCCTCGAGGCGCCAAATCATCGCGAAGCGGGGCCCCCGAAGATGCGGAGCAAAGGCGTCTCCCCCGCGCGAGGCTCCGCCCGCGAGCGGTGCCCGGTCGCGCGTCCAAGAGCCGCCCCCGCCGCGGAGCGAGACCCCTCAACAATCGCGGAGCGAGACTCCCGCCGACTCACAATCCCTAGTCCAGGGGCGAAACCCCCGCCAGTCAAACTGTCGCCGAGCGAGACCCCGCGGGTGTCGGGCGAGGGGGCTGGGATCCGGGCAGCACGAGCGCGCTCCTGGGCGTCCCATCCCCCATATGCGTGCGCGAGTTCTCTTGCAGCCGCCCCTCCTCCTCCTCCTCCTCCTCCTCCTCATCATCATCATCATCATCATCATCATCATCATCATCATCATCATCATCATCATCAACATCAACATCAACATCATCAGCATCATCAGCATCATCATCAGCATCATCATCATCACTCTGATCCTCCTGCGGCAGACCATCCTGCACCGCCACCTGAGTCTTGCAGTGGCTCGAGGGCTCCATCTCCACTTAAGAAAAACTGAGCCATGTGTCGACGAGCGGTCCTCCGTAGCCCTCGCCTTGATACTGGAAAGTTGCAGCCTGCTTTGGACTGCGCGTAAGCTGATGTGTTTTATGCCACTGTCAGCGCAAATAAAGTTCCGTTTAATACGGCGGCGCGCTCTCGTGTCATTTGGGTGCACTTCCAGCGACCCTGACTCATGACCATCCTGATCACCAGTGTCACTACCATCGCCGTCACCACCATGATGCCTGCTACTCCTCCCCCTCCTCCCAAAACTGGTATGGCACCAGAAGACCCCAGTGCGGAAATTGGCGAGCCTTTCACTACAAAGTCGGTGCGAGCACGCCAGTCATCGGGGAACGATTGAACCATCGCCGCGCACACAGACGGTGCGACCAGCCGGCCTACGCCGCCGATACCCCCCCCTCGCGGGGCCGCCCAGGCGCCTTGCTGCTCCAGTCGTCAGTGCCCACCACCTGTCGGAGGGAAATCCCTAGGTATCGGATCCGTGCTGGCCCGTCCTCGTCGAATTTCATTCTCGGCTGACCCGCCAGGCCACGGCCCTTCCGGTTAAACTCCTCTGGATGAAAGACTGTCATGCTGAAAGGAGCCGTCGTGGTCGAGACCAGACGGCCACAGTCGGTCGCGGGGCGAAGCAACCGGGGCCCACCCGCCGCACTTCTTCAGGGGAATAGAAACGCCGAGGGGGAACACCACAATATAGAATGGTACTGAATGGCTTACCGCGGGGTAAGACTGCGGAAATACAAAGGCGGGGACACGGGCAGGGGCAAGAGTGTGGGGGGGAACGGGGATTGGGACGGGGACGGGGAAAGGGGGTGGAACAGAACAAGGAACGAGAAACAGTACGAGGAAACGGGATAGAGTAAATCGCACGAGATGGGCGCCGAGGGTCCGCGCTCCTACGTGCACGGGGCTGGATCGCACCGTGGTCACAAAACCCACGAAACGCGATAGATACTCCCGTGAGCCCTTTGCAACGCCGATCTGGAGGTTGCGACCCTCCAGACGAGAAGACCCGCGAGACGAGAGGATCCACAGACCGGGCGAGCCAGGCCACGAGCGAAGGAGCGTGACGTCGGATGCAATGGGGAGGAGGGCCGTGGGGAGGAGGAGGGGGGGGAGGATCGGGCAGACGGCATGGGGGAGAGGGCAGCAAAAAAGGAAGCGGGGAGGGGGTGTCGACTGCCGCAGCCTTCCATTGAACGCCCCCCCCCAACCCTCTCGCTCGGCCCTCCCCTGAGCCTTGTCGGGGTGCCACCACTCGTTGCTGCCCTCGCCGCTCTCCTTGTCGCCGCCCGCGCCGCCAGAGGACGCCTTGCCGTCCCACTCGTCGCTGCCTGCGACCTTCCGGCACACATCGCTTGTGGCCCAGCCGTTTCGGACTCGTTCGACTAGCCTCTTGTCGATCCACTCTAGCTGGCCTGATCCTTTTGCAATCGTTCGACGAGGGAAGCTGCGGCCACGGAACACCAAGGGCCTGGCCATCGCACCCCTTCTCCAGAGCTCCTGGGGAGCCAAACAGCACATGCATTATCCCGCAAACTGTGGATGTACAAGACACGACTACGAGTGGGATGCGCTGAGGGGTATAACTCGAACAGAATACAGCACGCGAACGACCTGGCCTGGTTCAACAGTGGACAAAGTATTGCTATGTGCTTGCAAGTTGATGCCTCTGTTGGAATTGCCGTGGACTGCGGTGGCTACACATGGTCCGATCAGTTCCTGGGTCGAGTTCAATGTTGTTACACCGTCTCTTCGCGCCTGGCCGCCCCTCTCGAGGCTTTCCTTGCTCGAAGCCAGCAGCATGTCTTGCCACGAGAGGGCCCCAAGAGGGGTCCAAGAGGGGATCAGAAGGGCCCCCCGAAGGCTCCCCAGAGCAACCTCAATTGGGCCCCCATTTTTGTCATGGCCGCCAGGATGGCCCCAAGAATCCAAAGGGGTCCTAAGAGAGCCAGAGAGATTTCCAAGAGAGCCCCGAATGCATGCAAGAAAACTCCGAGAGGCCCCGAGGGGACCCTAGAGTGGCCTTGTTGGGGATTGCCCGGGCCGATCCCTCCGTAATGGTCTCCCTTTCTGTTTCACTGATACTCCTCCGATGCCCCCCCCACTTCCGTTCCCGCAGCAACTCGCTGGATAATCGCTTCTGAATGGACTTGAGGGGAGACACGAAGCGTCAAGACCCTAGGACCGAACAACACTTCGTGACCAGACGCCACACGGACCGGCGGAGTCACGACTGCAAGATGCGGGGCGGCTGAACACTGAACATGTCGCTCCCCTCTCCCCCTGCCCTGCCCTGCGAAGAGCACACTCAGGTGCGGAACGAGGCCGCTGCAACAATTTCCAGCGGATCTGGGCAGGCCCGCGATCCCTCAAGAGAGGCGCCCACACACGGGACCGCCCGCTCGGCTCGCCTGGAACGCTCACAAGGCCCCCAAAGTCAACGCCGAGGCTTCGGTGAAAGGCCGAGCAAACCACACCGCAATCTGCCCCCGCGGCCCAGCATCCCCATGGCGTCCCTCATGCTCGCTGGACAGCCATCGCACCTTCGAGACTGCCGCAGCCTTCCATTTCTTCCATTGAACGCCCCCCCCAACCCTCTCGCTCGGCCCTCCCCTGAGCCTTGTCGGGGTGCCACCACTCGTTGCTGCCCTCGCCGCTCTCCTTGTCGCCGCCCGCGCCGCCAGAGGACGCCTTGCCGTCCCACTCGTCGCTGCCTGCGACCTTCCGGCACACATCGCTTGTGGCCAAGCCGTTTCGGACTCGTTCGACTTGCCTCTTGTCGATCCACTCTAGCTGGCCTGACCCTTTTGCAATCGTTCGACGAGGGAAGCTGCGGCCACGGAACACCAAGGGCCTGGCCATCGCACCCCTTCTCCAGAGCTCCTGGGGAGCCAAACAGCACATGCATTATCCCGCAAACTGTGGATGTACAAGACACGACTACGAGTGGGATGCGCTGAGGGGTATAACTCGAACAGAATACAGCACGCGAACGACCTGGCCTGGTTCAACAGTGGACAAAGTATTGCTATGTGCTTGCAAGTTGATGCCTCTGTTGGAATTGCCGTGGACTGCGGTGGCTACACATGGTCCGATCAGTTCCTGGGTCGAGTTCAATGTTGTTACACCGTCTCTTCGCGCCTGGCCGCCCCTCTCGAGGCTTTCCTTGCTCGAAGCCAGCAGCATGTCTTGCCACGAGAGGGCCCCAAGAGGGGTCCAAGAGGGGATCAGAAGGACCCCCCGAAGGCTCCCCAGAGCAACCTCAATTGGGCCCCCATTTTTGTCATGGCCGCCAGGATGGCCCCAAGAATCCAAAGGGGTCCTAAGAGAGCCAGAGAGATTTCCAAGAGAGCCCCGAATGCATGCAAGAAAGCTCCGAGAGGCCCCGAGGGGACCCTAGAGTGGCCTTGTTGGGGATTGCCCGGGCCGATCCCTCCGTAATGGTCTCCCTTTCTGTTTCACTGATACTCCTCCGATGCCCCCCCCACTTCCGTTCCCGCAGCAACTCGCTGGATAATCGCTTCTGAATGGACTTGAGGGGAGACACGAAGCGTCAAGACCCTAGGACCGAACAACACTTCGTGACCAGACGCCACACGGACCGGCGGAGTCACGACTGCAAGATGCGGGGCGGCTGAACACTGAACATGTCGCTCCCCTCTCCCCCTGCCCTGCCCTGCGAAGAGCACACTCAGGTGCGGAACGAGGCCGCTGCAACAATTTCCAGCGGATCTGGGCAGGCCCGCGATCCCTCAAGAGAGGCGCCCACACACGGGACCGCCCGCTCGGCTCGCCTGGAACGCTCACAAGGCCCCCAAAGTCAACGCCGAGGCTTCGGTGAAAGGCCGAGCAAACCACACCGCAATCTGCCCCCGCGGCCCAGCATCCCCATGGCGTCCCTCATGCTCGCTGGACAGCCATCGCACCTTCGAGACTGCCGCAGCCTTCCATTTCTTCCATTGAACGCCCCCCCCAACCCTCTCGCTCGGCCCTCCCCTGAGCCTTGTCGGGGTGCCACCACTCGTTGCTGCCCTCGCCGCTCTCCTTGTCGCCGCCCGCGCCGCCAGAGGACGCCTTGCCGTCCCACTCGTCGCTGCCTGCGACCTTCCGGCACACATCGCTTGTGGCCAAGCCGTTTCGGACTCGTTCGACTTGCCTCTTGTCGATCCACTCTAGCTGGCCTGACCCTTTTGCAATCGTTCGACGAGGGAAGCTGCGGCCACGGAACACCAAGGGCCTGGCCATCGCACCCCTTCTCCAGAGCTCCTGGGGAGCCAAACAGCACATGCATTATCCCGCAAACTGTGGATGTACAAGACACGACTACGAGTGGGATGCGCTGAGGGGTATAACTCGAACAGAATACAGCACGCGAACGACCTGGCCTGGTTCAACAGTGGACAAAGTATTGCTATGTGCTTGCAAGTTGATGCCTCTGTTGGAATTGCCGTGGACTGCGGTGGCTACACATGGTCCGATCAGTTCCTGGGTCTAGTTCAATGTTGTTACACCGTCTCTTCGCGCCTGGCCGCCCCTCTCGAGGCTTTCCTTGCTCGAAGCCAGCAGCATGTCTTGCCACGAGAGGGCCCCAAGAGGGGTCCAAGAGGGGATCAGAAGGGCCCCCCAAAGGCTCCCCAGAGCAACCTCAATTGGGCCCCCATTTTTGTCATGGCCGCCAGGATGGCCCCAAGAATCCAAAGGGGTCCTAAGAGAGCCAGAGAGATTTCCAAGAGAGCCCCGAATGCATGCAAGAAAGCTCCGAGAGGCCCCGAGGGGACCCTAGAGTGGCCTTGTTGGGGATTGCCCGGGCCGATCCCTCCGTAATGGTCTCCCTTTCTGTTTCACTGATACTCCTCCGATGCCCCCCCCACTTCCGTTCCCGCAGCAACTCGCTGGATAATCGCTTCTGAATGGACTTGAGGGGAGACACGAAGCGTCAAGACCCTAGGACCGAACAACACTTCGTGACCAGACGCCACACGGACCGGCGGAGTCACGACTGCAAGATGCGGGGCGGCTGAACACTGAACATGTCGCTCCCCTCTCCCCCTGCCCTGCCCTGCGAAGAGCACACTCAGGTGCGGAACGAGGCCGCTGCAACAATTTCCAGCGGATCTGGGCAGGCCCGCGATCCCTCAAGAGAGGCGCCCACACACGGGACCGCCCGCTCGGCTCGCCTGGAACGCTCACAAGGCCCCCAAAGTCAACGCCGAGGCTTCGGTGAAAGGCCGAGCAAACCACACCGCAATCTGCCCCCGCGGCCCAGCATCCCCATGGCGTCCCTCATGCTCGCTGGACAGCCATCGCACCTTCGAGACTGCCGCAGCCTTCCATTTCTTCCATTGAACGCCCCCCCCCAACCCTCTCGCTCGGCCCTCCCCTGAGCCTTGTCGGGGTGCCACCACGCGTTGCCGCCCTCGCCGCTCTCCTTGTCGCCGCCCGCGCCGCCCGTAGTGGTGACGCCTGGAGCCCCCGTTGATTCACACAGCGAGGCAAGGTATGGTCGCGGGGCCACCACTGCGTCCAACAGAAGCTCGACTGGGTACCTAGCAAAACACAACATCACGAGACGCAGTGCGCTCTGGGGGGACTCGTCACACTTGTAAGGCCAACGGAACGTGAGATACGTGTTGGATGTTTGCGTCTCCTCCTGTTCCCTGCCGCACCCCGAAGCCAGTCGGAAGGGCGGGCCGGGCGTTTCGCCTGAGACTTCCTTACCACGTATGAGCCTAAAGGTTAGAAACTGGCAATCGTTCCACGGATGGAGGGCGGGCCACGTCCAAACTTTTGCTCTCGCCTCAGCGCCGCGCACCTTCCTCCCAAAAGCTGTGCAACAGCTTCGAGGATAGAGGGCGGGTGGTTGTCAAAATGTGAATATCGCCTTAGCGCCGCGCGCACTAGTCTTAAACATGTGCGGAAACTTCACGGATTAAGGTCGTTTTGTTGGTTCTTGCCGCAACGCCGCGCACATTCGATTTAAACATTGCGATAATTTCACGGACTGCGGGCGTTTCGTGTTCAGTGTTGCTCTGGTCTTAGCGCCGCGCACGCTCGTTTCAAACAAACGCAGGAGTTTAACGAAAACATGTTTTGTGTGACTCTCGCCTGAGCGCAGCGCACATTCGTTCTGAATGTTGCAAGAGCTTCACGGATTAATGGCGGCTCCGTTAAAAAAATGTGGTTTTCGCCGTAGCGACGACCACCGTCGCCCTAAAGTTGTGCGTGCCATGGTTTCGCGGGTTTCACGGGTAGCAATCCAGACATGATGTTCTCGAACGATCAAGATTGTCAGGGCGCAACAATTACGTTGACCCGCAGTGTCGAAGTCCCAGAAATGGCATCCTGGCACGATTCAGGATCGTCAAGATGCAACAATCAGGTTGACTCGTGACGTTGAAATCCCGAGAATCATGTTTTGGTACGCTGCAGGATCCCACCAGCCCTCTGGGCGTAGGTGGTCTAGGGCGGTTTCTCTTCCAACCCTCCCCCTTCCCCGTCGGGGAGAATTCTACCCCTCCCCATTACCCCCTCCCCTGTACCTGGAGGGGAGGCCCGCGAGGTGTCAGGAGGCCCTTGTGGGCCCAAGAAAGCTTCAAGAGCGCCCCAGAGAGGCCACGATGACCTCCAAGACGACTCAAGGTAGCCTAAGCTGGCTCAAGATGGTTTCCAACATGCTCCAAGAGGCCCCGGGACCGTTCCGAGACGGCTCCAAGTTGCCACGGAGCCTTCCACGGAGGCTCCCGAGACGCCAAAACCAAACCAACACATGAGGACAATCAATGAAGTGTGTATTCTCGCCTGTTTTTTTTTGTCGATGGCCTTCCGAAGCTTCAAGATGGTTCCAAGAGAGCCCAAAGAGGCCCCAAGAGAGGCCCAAGAGAGCCCCAAGACGGCCCCGAAAGCGCTCCAGGAGGGGCCCAACAGGCGACGTTGCGGGCTTCCGAAGGGGGAGGCGAATTGAGGACCTCCCCTTTTTTGCTCGGGTTCTTCCAGGATGGCTGCAAAAGAGCGTCTGCGGCCCCCCAAACAGCCCCGAAAGACCCCCAAAAGGTCCCCAAGAAGCACCAGCGACCCCCAGAGAGGCACCCAACATGTTCCCTGCGGCAGGAGGTGCCCGGGAGGCTCACAGGACCACCGCGAGGCCCCCAGGACGCCCCAACAGGCTTCCAAGCAAACGTCCAAGAAACATTCCAAAATATTCTAAAACTGGGCCCCTCCTCACCTCCCTCCTTCCCCTTTCGTATCCTTTTCCTCCTCCTCCTCCTCCATTTCCTCTTTTCCCCACTTAGTTATCATGGGCCTCGTCTCTGGATGGGCTGGTGGGGATCTATGTTTTGGGTACGCGGGCACGCGAAACGGGTCGAACGCTGGGCGCGGCTGGTGGGCATACTTTTGGGCACGCAGGCGCGCCACCTGCGAAAGAAAAACAAGGCAACGAACACGTTGGGACAGGCGGAACTCTGGGGCGGCTGAAAAGGCGGATGCGGGAGAGCAGCACCAAGACCGCGGGGCAGGTGCCAGGCGTGAAGAAGAGCAAGTGTAACCAGAAACGGCGGAGCGTAACATGAAAGAGCTGGCGGGGATACGTTCTTTGATCGCAAGCGCACCGGGAAACGCCAGACGCCGTCAGAATCGCAGCAAGCGGAAGGGCTGGTGGGGATACTTTTCCGTCGCGGCCGCAAGCGGAAGCGCAGACGGCGTCCGAAGTCAACCCGGGCTACGAGCCAAACCGAGTTACCTAAGCGCGCGAACTAACGGCCGCCGAAACTGCCGCCGAGGAGCGACGCTGGGGACTCAAGGCAGAGTTGCATGAGGTGCCAGGTGTGCCAGGCGGCTGAAGTGCAACCATTCCAAGGGCGAGACCACTGGGAAGGCAAACGAATCGTATCTTGTCGCGCCAGGCGCCAGAGGTAAACGAGCCACCCGAGTAAAGCACAGCATAGCGTCGGGCTGAGCTAGCAGCCCAGCGCACCTGTGTCGCATGCCAACAATGGCAACCTCAAGTGGTTGAACAAGACCACTCATGAGCAATCCACGTGGAGGTGCACCCCGCCATTGCAAGGCGGCAGCTGCAAACGCGGCCAGGCTGCGGCAGCGTCTGGGGCCAACGGCCAGGAACATGCGAGCATGCTAGCTGGAGCTGGTCGACGCGCAAGCCGCCGGGACGCCAGGGCTACCTCGCCAGGCTCAAAGGAGCCAGCACGGACACCAACAGTTGCCAAGGACTGAGGGCGTAGGCCCAGGAGCCGCAACCAAGCTGCGGTCGGCGGCAGAGCGGCCGCGGCCAGGGGGGGCCAGACGGCGCCGAGAGGGGCGGCGCAGCAAGCAGCTGAAGGCTGAGAACTCCCCGGGCCAAGTGCTAGCGGCGCGGCATGCGCGAGTCGAGTGACGTCGCGAAGGGGGGGCCAGCCCACCGGGGATATCAGGCCAGGCCGTGGCCGGGCGCGGGAGAAGGCCAGGGTGAAAACGGCAGCAGCAAACGGCCCAGGCCGCGCGGGCTGGCGGGGATTTCCGTTCGTTCGCGAGCGCATGCGGTAGAGCCGCGCGCCGTCGAAAGGGTCAAGCAAGCCCATGGGCAGCGCCCGAAGACAGAAGCTACGAGCAAGCAGCGCGCTCAGAAGCCGAAGAAAGCGAAGAAGAAGAAATCCGGGCCCGCGTGCGGAGGGGGCCTCGGCAAACTTGTCCGCGAAGCACTTGCCCCGGCAACCTTCGCCCCGACAAATTTGTCCTCGTCGAACAAGTCAACGATCGGGGCCGACCGCGGCGCGCCGACGCCGTCGTCAGCGCGGGTCTTGTACATCCACCACGCAGCCAACCACGCGAAAGAGGCACTGACTCCAAGCCATCAGTCGTCCACTCAGCCAACGCACGACGGAGTAACCGACGCGCGGGGCGACAGGCGCGGGTCAAAGCAGCGCAGTGCAGTCGGGGGCATCTTCCAAGGAGAGGCCCTTGTGCTTGCTGTCACTGAGCCAATGTCGCAGGGCAGCGCCGAGGGCCACACAGACAATGTGGACGCAGCAGGGCCGTGGGAGCTAAGGTGACAAGCCCACGCGCCTCCTGCGGGGGGGGGGGGGGGGGCGGGCCCCAGCCGCAGGGCAATGGATGGGCCAGGCAGCTCGGAAATGATCGATGCATCTCCTGGCGCGCGCGCCCCGGAGGGGGCGCTGAGGGCCAGGGCCGCGCTGTGGGTGGGGTCGCAGCTAACAGCCGCAGAGTGAGTTGTCGGGCCAGGGGCGGCCCGCGCGACTCCTGCGTGGGGGGCAGCCGCGGGGGGGGGGCGGGGCAGTCGATTCAGGATGTCCATTGCCAGCTGGCCCCAGCGCCCCGGGGGGGGGCGCCGAGGCCGCCGTGGGGGCGGTCGTATATAGAAGCAAAGTGCGCAGTGCAGTCAGCGAGCCCGCGCCCCGCCTGCGGGGGGGCAACCGCAGGAGGGTGGGCGGGCCAGAACGATCGGTCAACGAAATACCGCGAGGCGCTAGCGCACCTGGAGGGGGCGACGAGGGCCAGGCCGCACTGTTGAGGGGCGCCGCAACTAACAGCCGCAGAGATAGCGAGATCGGCGGGCGGGCCCGCGCACCGCCTGCGGGGGGGGGCAGCCGCAAGAGGAAGACGGGCGAGTCGGCCCAGTGAATCCATTGCCTGCTGGCCCCAGCGCCCTGGGGGGGCGCCGAGGGCACGGGCGCAGCGCAGCCAGACGCCGCAGAGCAAGTGGAGACAGGGTGGGCCCAGGCCTCCTGCGAGGGGGCAGCTACAGGAGGAGGAGCGGCCGGGGGCGCGCGGGGGCGGGGGCGGGGGGGCGGCGGGGTGGGGGCGGCAGACAGCGTGGACAGAGGAAGTGGCCGCCAGGCGGGAAATCTGAAGGGCGCGGGCCATCAACCCGGGCGGCCAGTGAGGGCCAAGCACCAGTGTGCAGGGAGGGCAGCGCAAGGCTGCAAGAGGTGCCGCAGAAGCTCTAGTAGCGTCGGAAGCCCGCTCGGAGGGGGGCCGATCCCCGAGCCGCCCACGGCGCGCCAGGGGCGGCGGCAATCATCCAGGGGGAGAGAGGCCGCAAAGTGGCGCCCCAGAGGGGGCTCCAAGGCCAAGGGCGAGCCGACAGCCCCAGCTGGGCACGCCCAACGCGGCATTGGCGCACGAGGAGGGGTGCGCAGGGGGAGCCGACCAGCCTCGTTGGCCAGGAGGGATTGGGCCCCGTGAGGCACACTGATGTACAGCGTGGGGCGTTCATGGCCAGGCGAGAGTCGTTGCGTGCGCCCGCCTGCGTGGCCTGGGCGGAGCCTAGGGATGCACCCAGGGTTGGCGCGAGCCCACGGCCCGTCGGGGTTCCACCGTCCTTGTCCAGCGGGGGTCGCTATCTTCGCGGGGCCCCTTGCCTTTGGCCTTGCCAGGGGTGCTCTTGGCTTTAGCTCCGTCGCTGAACCGAGCGCGGACTGCGCCCCAGTCGACCCCCAGGCGGAGCGATTC